GCAGGGCAGGCAGCAGGCTCCTGCCCCAAGCAAAGCTCTGGGAAAGGAGGTGCAGAGGCCGTGCATGGGAGATGGGCCTCCCCCTACCCACTGTGGGCTGCAGTTCCAGCCATGGGCAAGGGCTTGGCTGTGGGAGGCAGGTAGCCTCTCACCTCCAAAGTGCTTCTCCATGTGACAGGGCTTGGCTGACGTGCGGAATAACGACTTTACAACCAGTAAGGTTATAAAGAAGGTATGTTTATTCGGCGCTGGGTGCACGGGGGATCGCCCCTCCGCAAGCGTGCACACCCCAAGGGCTATTGGCAAGTTCGTTGTATGCCACAAAGTAATACATATTCATCTATGCTGTTGCATATGCATTAGGTGTCCGAGGATAGGGTGGGGTTATTACAATTAGTTCCCGGAAGTCATTATCATAGTTGCCCCCCCCCAGCTCCTCCTTGCTGCGCCTGCGCAGTGTCTCCTGGTGGTGGCGGGCAGGGGTGTTTGGGATGAAGGCCGTATGTCTTCCGCTGTGCACTTCTCACCTCTCAGCATTCCTTTCTGGAGTCTCCTCCACGTTGTTGCCTTCTCAGCAGGTTTCTGGGGGAACATCCTCTCACACAACACCCCCATTTACATTCCAAGCCTTACCGATACATTCTAAGTCTTACCTTTACATTCCACTCCTTATCTGTGCTAAACAACGCCATCCTGTGTGTACTCCTCATGTGTCAGTCCTTTTCCCCCGAGGGAGGCCGTCTGGTTTTCCTTAGATCGTGGCCACAGCGTGCCTCATCCCTGAGATGAACCATGATGTCTTTCTGGAGGTCAGGGTGGAGGTGTCAGGGTGAGCTGCAGCAAAGGGAGGGATGGTCTTTTTAGGTGTCAGGCTGGAGGTGTCCGGCTGAGCTGCAGCAAAGGGAGGGATGGTCTTTCTGGAGGTCAGGGTGGAGGTGTCTGGCTGAGCTGCAGCAAAGGGAGGGATGGTCTTTCTGGAGGTCAGGGTGGAGGTGTCAGGGTGAGCTGCAGCAAAGGGAGGGATGGTCTTTCTGGAGGTCAGGGTGGAGGTGTCAGGGTGAGCTGCAGCAAAGGGAGGGATGGTCTTTTTAGGGGTCAGGGTGGAGGTGTCCGGCTGAGCTGCAGCAAAGGGAGGGATGGTCTTTTTAGGGGTCAGGGTGGAGGTGTCCGGCTGAGCTCCAGCAAAGGGAGGGATGGTCTTTCTTAAGGTCAGGGTGGAG